AGCTTTGCAATGGCAAATGAGCGTAAGGCATTCATAGCTTAGCTGCAATTTTTCTACATATTTTTAATTATTTTTGTTTTTCATGTCAAAACTTTTTGTATATATGAATTGCTCAACAACAGAGGCAGCTTGAATTGCTGAGCTTGAAGACTACCAGTCATATGAACAGACGAGCCAACAGCAGGCAGAACAAACTCTTTATACTTCATAACATAATGACAAAGGCAACGTAGCAATAATGAGAAGCGCAAAGAGAGGTTGCACTTATAGAGCAAGCAGTTGAGACTGCTTGGTGTAGTAGAATAATATAATATTAACATAATTTGAAGCATAGTTTATAAATGACAAAACACAACTTTTAATTTGAATGTTCAATAAAAGTTAATAATTTTTTCTTAATCAACTAAAAACTTAAGCCATCTGCTTGCTGTGCTTATTCCCACTTTCAGAGTCTACTTGTGCTTCACGCAAAAATCTTATTAAATATCCAAGTGCAGCGTTACTTCTGGCTGCTTTGTAGATCTTGTTCAGCTTTGCTCTTTAAGTTGTCAGCAGCATGCGAAACAGCAGCAACAGCAACGGGAACAGCAACAGCAACAACAACTGACAACAGCAACAGTGCAACTCGGCAAATCCGAAATGCACTTCAGGCCATGGCCACGCCCATGGGGCAGTAAAATTTACCTAAGTAGGCTGCTGTTTTTGCCAGCTCTTGAATTGGCCAGAGGCTGCTTGCTGGCACAGGAATTGCAGTGGAGCTTAATTCGGTTGTGCGGATGGCGGACGGCGGACGGCGGGTTGCGGATTGCGGATTGCGGATGCGGATGTTTCGTGTGGTCGCCTAGGCGAAAGACTTTGCCATTTGCCGGAGTGCAATTTACTCAAAAGTTGTACGCGTTTTCCTGCCCCAATATGTTGCAGGGGCGCGAAAAACGTTCAAGACAAACAGGCCCCGGTAAATGTGTGTGTAAGAGGCAAGGCTCACGCCCACTTTTTGACTTGGCAGCAGCACGTGCTGCTTGCAGCGAATGTTAATAACATTTGCTGGCAACAACAATGGCAACAGCAAAGCGAAATTTACGCACTCGACGCTGTTTTGTTGTCGTTGTCGTCGTTGCTTCCTTTAACGAGCTCATCCTTGTTGCAACTAGCGCACGTGCCACGCCCCGCATATAGCCATAGCCAGACACAGCCATCTTCTGCTTACTTTTACTACTTGACGCTGTCATTTGCGGCATTGCAATTAATTTTTGCTTGCTCTCCCTCCGAGTGTGGGTGTGTGTGTGTGTGTGTGTGTGTTGCTTGTAGATTTTAGGTCAGGATGCAGACATGCAGCTCGGCACACTAATTTCTGATCTCAGCCATAGCCTTGACAACAACTAGAAGTTGTCAAACGCTTCTCATTTAACGCCTGCATGGCTCAGCCATCAAGAGAGGATGCGGAGCAGGAGGCGAGCTTCCAATTATGGCTCGGTTAGCTGTTTGGGCCAAGATAAGCGTATGCAACGCTCGTATTATCAATTGAGCTCAGGTGCAATGAGCTTAAAGCGAGTTTTAAGCTGAAATTGTGAAACTGCCTCTGCATAAAGGCGCCTTTATCGAACCTTAGCTACTGCACAGTCTCTGTTCTCTCAATTTGCTCTTAATTTCTTCAATTTACTCGCTTGGCTTCAGTAATTTACCAAAAAAAAAAAAAAAGAAAAATAATCGTGCATGTCTTCGATTTGCTTAAACTTTCGCCATGTGCTGCAGCTGTCCGCCCACTTGCCACGCCCAGCAGCCATTATCTAGACCCCTGACAATTAGCATAAATGCATATTACACACAGAGAGAGAGATACTAAGAGAGAGAGAAAAGAAAAATTGCTTAATTAATTTCCAAGCGATTGGCATAAAATTGAAAGCATGCGAGTTGCGAGCTCTGCAAATAAAATTTAATTTTAATGCAACTTAGAGTCGACTAACCAGGCGCTGTTAGTGTATGTGTGTGTGTGTTTGTGTGGGCAGCAACTCCCTTGGGATGTATTCTGTTTGATATTTTTATGTGCAAGTTGTGTGTGCGGTAAAACGAGTTACAGACGTTGACGACCTACTTTAAAGCCTTCGCCTGGCAAGGCGGGCGTCAGCTGCTGCGGCTGCTGCTGCTGCTTGGAAGCTGGCGCCACTTTCTTTGGCGTCCCGTTGACTGGTTGACACCAATTTGAATGGCAAGTTTTCAGTTTTCGATCGCAGCTCAACTTGGGCACTTTATGGCATTGTGCTAAGACTGAATTGCAAATAATCGCCGCACAGCCAGAAGCGAGACTGCCGGCTCTAATATGAAAAGCGTTTCTAAAGCATTCAACTGAAATCATTTTTCTAGCTGCAATCAAGAAAATTATCAATTTACACCGGCAGAGATCTCATTTCCTCTCTCTTTTGCTGAAGGCCACTTTCCTAGGGAAAAGTGTGCGTTCAAACTGAATTTAATGGGTGTTAATCTCAAGAGAAAGCCCGCTTAATAATTACAACAGAAAATTATATACCAATCAGAGTTGAATTAAAGCTGCATAAGATCTAAATCTCAATTTCAATTGATTGTTATATAACGTAACATGTGATGAAAAGTGTGGGAAATATGTATTAAATAAATTCAATAATTTATAGACACTGAACGAACAGAGCCGAACGACGCTGCGTATACTTAATTTCTTAAATAGTTAGGTGTATAAAATTGTTATCATAATATTTTGTTTGAAAGCTACTTACACATTAGCTGTAAGCTAAAAGAGCAGAGAAACCTGAATGTTACTGCTGCACGACAAAGCAGAATAAAAGCTGGAGTTACACTGCGTATACTTAATATATAATGAATGTTTTTTCTAGAGCTTGACAAGCTTATATTATAATAAAATATAGAACTAAAATTTTTTTATAAACAAATAAAGTTATATTAGACGGGAAATATTATGACATTTATGTTAAAATATGATTTTGGTCCTAAAAAAAAATTTATAAATTAAGTTTTTCAAAAGGCAAAAGTGTTTACATCTCATTAGACTACAACTAATCTAATTAAGTTTTCTCTACATGATTCATAGAGACAAATATATATATTTTGCAAGTTATATATAAGCTCTAACTCCATATAATCAGAAGCTGATCATTTTCAAATACTTTTTTCTTCTACAGCTCCATTTGACTTTAAATCTTTGATTGAAAACTCAGCCTTAAATGGCTATTTGAAGCTGAATTGTTTTAAATTCTTTCAGCAACAACTCAATGCGCCAATAATTGATGCTGGCCACTGGAATCGATTGCACTTGAAGTCCACGCCTAATGCTCGCACACTTCACAATTGTCAGCTACCAAAAAATGGCCATAAAAGGCCGGCAGTTTGCTCTAAAAAGAATCCGAAAACTGCAATAAAGCAGTTCAAGTTTTAGCCATTTGGTTGTTGTTGGCCAATATTGGCCAAGACCAAGCCGAATGCACTTTCAAAAATAAAAAAAAAAAATAAAACAAAAAAAGGCGAAAAAACAAAGGCAAGTCGAAGCCAATGCCGCCTCAGCAGCCGAACAGACCCCGAACGACCCGCGCATAAAAGTCGAAGACAAGTCTCGGAGCAACAAATTGAAATTGTAACAAAATGCTCACGACAAATATGCGGTTGCTGTGCATGGTTACAGCTTTTCGTTATTTTTTTTTCGCTCATTGCAGTGCGCTCCTATGACGCAATGGTCGCATTCGAGTCATGTGCTCTGCCAGTTGTGTTTGTTGGCTTTTGGCAGCGGCTAACCGCAGGGTGGGGCGGGGTAGGCTATGGCTGTGGCTGCGTCTAGGCCAGCTCCAGAGCCAGTCCAGCATGGACTTTTTTAAGCGTTTACTATAATTAAAACTTAAAACTGCATTTTTCAGTCTCAGCATCGCTGAGGAGTGGTCCGCAGCAACAAAAGCTACACGTTAACAAAACAATAAAATTGTTGCAGAAACAGAAATTAAGTCGACATAAGTGAATGTACATATAAACTACATAAGATCGTCGGCATTTATAATTAAAATACTTTTTTCTTTGTAATGTTTATTAAAAAAAATAAATTGGAAGTTAGCTCGGCTTTGTTTAGTAAGGCGAGGCGGGACTCTATAGATGTCTGAAGAAATGGAAAACGAGAGAGACAGAGTGAGTGAGATAGAGAGAGGGAGGGAGGGAGAGGGAGGAGAAACATGGGCGAGAGTATGTGAGAGAGAGAGTAAGAGGGAGAGTGAGATGGTAGAAGTGAGAGAGAGAGAGAGTGTAAGAGAGCGGGAGAGTGAGAGGGTAGAAGTGAGAGAGAGAGAGTGCAAGAGAAAGTGTAAGAGGGTGTTAGAGAGAGTGTAAGAGAGAGTATAAGAGAGTATAAGAAATAGAGAATAAGAGAGGGAGAGAATATAAGAGATTATAAGAGAAAGTATAAGGAGTATAAGAGAGTATAAGGAGTATAAGGAGTATAAGAAAGAAAATATAAGAGAGAGAAAGAGTGTAAGAGAAAGAGAGTATAAGAGACAATATAAGAGATTATAAAAGAAAGTATAGGGAGTATAAGAGAGAGTATAAGAGATCATAAGAGAAAGTATAAAGAGTATAAGAGAGAGTATAAGGAGTATAAGAGAGAAAGTATAAGAGAGGAGTGTAAGATAAAAAGAGAGTATAAGAGAGTATAAGAGAGAGTGTAAGAGTGAGAGAGAGAGAATACAAGTGTGAGAGTATAAGAGAGAGATTGTGAGGGGAGATATTAGAACATGTGGAAGAAATTGATATATCTGAGTGAAAAAATGGGAAGTGGTAGGCAGAGGGAGCTTCTAAAAGAGAGATAGAGAGAATGTGTGGAAAAAATAGAATCATATAAAAAAAATTTAAGATGAGCACATTCGTAATTCCTCAAGGAAGTAGGCATAACATAGATAGCAGAAAAAATATTTGTTTATCTATAAGACTAGGATATATATTTTAAATAAATATAAAAGGAATAATTGAGACTGTTCTCAAACACTACCAATGTACAAGCATTCATCAATTTTTTGGTTCTTTTGGAGATTGGCTTGGAGCTACAGTCACATCTTGATTCGAATCAGCCTCGGGTGTAGCGTCGCATGCATTGCTCTTTACAGGTGCTTTGGGCAATGCTTTGACAGTATAGGATGGCATAAACTTGTCGTCAACCAGCTCTATGGAATGCCTACTAATCTTTTCGGGACGATGCAAGAGAACTGTCTCACTAGTATACAAAGCCGGTCGGTCTACGTGACTTCGCGAGATCTTCTTGGCGTCTGGTATAAATTCTCTGCTTGGTTTGGGAGGTCCACTGTCCCGCAATGGAATTGTGCCGATTGTAATGGGCACGGTGATATTCCATTTCATATGGAGACCACTGAAAATGACAGTTAGTCTGAGCTGATACCCTATTTCTATGATGTGCGGCCCCTGCGTCGAGGGCGGCACGGTTGGTATTTCGTAGCTGGCACCTATCTTTCGTGCCGTCTGACGTGTCACTCCCTCGTTCTGTCTTTCGCCGCGTTTGTATGATGTATTATGCCGTCGAGTAGTATTGACCTTGAATGTGTATGTCTGTATCAGGGTCATCATGAAAGCCTTGAGATTTACTTCCGACTTATTATCCACATCCAGGGTGTAGTCGATTGACTGACCTGGTACGTAGCCACCAAAGGGTATGTGGAGGCTCAGTTGGACGTCGCCGCTAGAGGGCCAAAATGTCCGCGTGCTCGTCAGCTCAATGGGCTTCAGCATCTCCGGATGCAAGTTGAGATCGTAGTGCTGCAGCACAGCCAGCGGCTGTTTGAACACCTTCTTCATCAGCGCACGATCCACCACGAGCGACAAATTATAGGACACCTTGCCATACCTGCCCAGGCAAGAGGTGGGGCAATGTGGCGGCAGTGGTATGGAAAATGAATAGTTATGCGTGCCGGCCGCTAGCTCTCCTCTTTCGGCCAAATTCTGCTCAAATCTCGTGTACGTCTCGACTGCAGTCGAGACGAATCTCTCGTTTCGCATCTCATCGGTTGTGTGACTGCTTCGAGTCTCATCGAAGGCAACTTTCGCCAGGCCAACAAAGAGTATATAGATGCCAGTTATAGCTTTCGGGGTCGTAGTTCTCAATATGATTCTACCCGTTATCTTCTCGCCGCTGTAGAACAATGCATTGGCCCGGTCGAACTTGAACTCACAAACAGTGGATAAATTAAAGGAAACCATGAGGTACCGTTAGATTTCAGTGCATAAGAAGTGACTTGAATTTACAGTTGCATTACTAATTTCAAGCTCTGATATTCCAATGTATTTTTTGTATTAAAAAACAAATGAAATCCAAATGAAGTCCCAATAGGCTGCAGTATATAAGAAATTACCTAAATTTAATGGAGCATTAATTTCAAGCTCTAATATTTCTATATATTTTCTTAATATATATTTTCAAAGCTGTCTAGGTTTCCAGAAGTGGCCAAGAGTAGAAAAAGGTTTATGGATTACAAATTTCCAATCGAAAAGCTAGGCTAGCTAGTTGAAAGCGTTGAAATCTTAAAAGATTTTGTCAAGTAGGCGAAAAGCTAAAGTTGCTGCGAAAACTCGGCTTCATCTCAGAGGGAGTCAAGTCTGCAAATCAAGATGTTTCAATCGAAATGCTGGAAAATGATTCGACTCCAATATAAAAATCTTTTCTATTTCAAAACTTTAAAAGTTGCTTTCAATTGTTAACTAAAAAAATAAAATCAGCTGAATAGCAGCTTCTAGACAAAGTCCAAGTCTAAATATAGAAATATAAAAAAATATTTAAAAGTAAATGGAAAACATTTTTCGTATTTATATTTATCTTAAATTTGTATTAACTGAGTCTGAACAAGTTGATGGATTAGCTTTTTCAGTTAACACGCTCCTTAAGCTGGAAACCAGTTTATAGATTTGGCATTCAGGAAGCTGAACCATTGTTGCCACGCCGCATTGCCGTTGGTTGCACGCATGAGCCATTCGATTGGCACTGCGAGTGCATCGAATGGCAGCTGAGCAAAGATGCAAAGCACTCAGCGAAGTGAGCTTTACTTTGAAATTTATTATTGATTTTTGTTTAATTTTTGGTGAAAGGTGCGCTGTTTGCGATTTGCGTCAAGTTACGTGTGGGTCACAGCACCTGCCACAGCGCCGAGCTCATCCAACAGCAGCGGCAGCGGGCGGTCAATCAAATACGTAATATGGGCAAAATGGGAATGCCCTTAATACGCCTGGGAAACGAGAGTTTTTGGCCGCACAGCACGTGGCTGGCAACACATTGACTAGCTAAAAAAAAACAAAACCTAAAAACAAAAAAAATGATTGAAAAGATTTATGTTTTACGAACATGTTGCTCGAACTTCAATATGCACCGCAGCTGCTTGCTGTTTGCTATCATTAAAATCCATTTTTGATTTTAGCCTTTCACAACAATAAACAACAAATAAACCAAGCCACGGGTGAGTCTCAGCCCTCACAACTGTGCTTCATTAGCAAGAATCTGCCTTAGATGTATATGTTTCATACTTTCCTTTTAACAGCTAACAAATATTATATCTATCAAGTTTAACGTGAGATTACAAAATTAAACTTAAATCATTTACCCTTACCGAAAACTGTTATACTGCTAAAACTGTTAGTGAATTTGAGCGCAGGCTGCATAGTTTTAATATCAGCCGAAATACACTGTACTTCATTTAAGTATAAAATTTGAATTGAAGATAAACTGTTATACTGTTATACTGTTATACCTAGAACAAAGCTCAATTTTAATACTCACTGAAATTTATTCTGTTTAATACAAACTACGTCGCAGCATTTCAATTTGCTTAAAGCAAAACTGTTATACTGTTATATATATATATATATATATATATATATATATATATATATATATATATATATATATATATATATATATATATGTATACTGTTATATTTACTCCGGTTTCAAAGACAAACTTCATTAAGGCCTTTTTATGAGCTTCAGGTAAAACTGTTATACTGTTATACTCAAAGCTAATTTTGATGAAAGTCTGTTGTGTCTCATTTATGGTGCAGAAAATGATGATTTGGGCATTTGTATTTGCTTTAGGCAAAAGTGTTATACATTTATACTCAAGAAAAATATAATACAGTCTCTACATTATAACAATTCTCTATTTAACTACAATTCGAGCTCTATTGGGAAAGAACTGTTATACTATTATACTTGAGAAAAAACTCAAAATAATCTCTATATTTTTTATATGAACTGAAATTTATTTAGATTACAAAGCTGAGCTTCATTAGAGCCTTTCACTTTGCTTTAGGTAAAACTGTTATACTTATAATAAATCTCAAGCCAGATCTGCTTGAATTATTTCCAAATAATCAGATGTTTGCATAAAATTTGATTGTTTTTTTATAGCAAAATTTCATGCAAGAGTTGTAAAAATTATTTTTTTCTTTTGTGTTTTTCTTAAACAACAGCAACAAATTTCAATTTAATTTATCTACTTTTTTTGCTTTTGCCTTTGCCGTACTCATAGACGAGCGAAAGTGAGTAACTACCTGGCGTAAAGTATGGAGACAGCGATGTAGACTCAGAGTGGAGTCTTTCAAGTATGTAAATCACCTTAACTACAGCACACGGTGCAGATTTATGGGCGCCAGCCACTTGGCGAGCAGAATTTTTTATGGCACCCAAAAGAGCGTGGACCATGGAACATGCTCGGCTTACCAAAGAGCATAGAAAACTGACTACGCGCTGGGTGGTGCGGCGGCGGTTGGGCAATGCGGCCGCAGAACTGTCACAATCGATTAGATGCCGTCGCCATAAAAAAGGGCGTAAAGTGAAAGCAAAGGGGCGTCAATTGCAAAAGAGCAATTAGCATCAGGCTGAATTTTTATGCAGGTAACTCTACCAATATATATATATATATATAAATATTAACCAAACACTCTGAAGATGCTAAGTGGTTTCTTTTGGCCAGCTGAGTCAGCAATTTAGCAAATTGTCAAAGTGTGCCTCAATCAAGCTATTTAGCATTGATGTAAAGTATAAAGTGTTATAAATGTATAAAAACTGTTATAAATAGCAAAGTGTTATAAGGCAAAAAGGCACATTTAGGCACAGCTAATGAGCTCAGATACTCATATATTATTATATTATTATAATTATATAAATATATATTATTATAGCTATATTTATAATTAAATTTATTAATTTATAGCAGAAGAGTGCAGTGAGTAAAGTGTTATATATATATAGCGAAGTCTCATAAAAAGCTGTCTTTCTCATTTGAGTATTCATATAACACTTTTTATAAGAGCTAAGCAATATAAAGTACAGTCTTATAAAGTGTTATAAGACAACAGTCGAGTTTTATATATACAAATTTATCAATTTAATATTTTATATTCACTAATCTGTTATAAATTACTGTTCCGCTAAGTGAGTAATTTAGAAAATGATCCACGTCTGGCCTTATTTGTAGTATAAATGAAGTGCAATAAAGTGTTATAATGTTGTTATATAAAGTACACTCTTATAAGCTGACGTGTTATACACAGTACAATATTATATCTAAGCATATTATTAACAATCCATTAGCCCCTTTTTCATTAGGGTAAATATTTATCTATATATCTCTGCTTTTTTATTACCATTAAATATTAAAGACATTTGCATCGCATTGCAACTCAGTAGCGCGTGCCAGCAACAACAGCAGCAACAAAAGCTTTATCAACAACAACATAATGTACAACATTATCGTTAACATTACGCATTGGCCGCCCCTCCCACTCGCCGACTGGGTCCGCCCTGTCCATATTTGTATATCAAGTGAAAGCTATTCACTTAATTTCCACTTTTTGCTGTTGTTTGTTATTTTTGTGCCAAAACTGTTGTGTTGCACATTTTTCACATGATTGTGTTAATCAGTTTTTACCTTATATATATTGTCTGATACTTGTTTTGTTTTTGCATTTTCAATTTAGTGAAACATAGCGAATTTGGCTGTGACTTTTGACCGCTTTGCATAATATAACTGCCTCTGTGGGTGGGCGTTGTTTTCTGAGCTCGTTTGTTTAGTTTCATTTCTCCTAGAGTTCATGTTTCTCTTTGGCTATAACTAACAACTGTTATACTACAGTCTGGCCATTTGGAGTGTGGGCGTGCGTGTCCGTACTTCGTTTTAGTCAACATCGAAAAAATTTGTGCCACCAAAAGGCGTTAAATAGTTGCGGTTATAAAATGGCTATAATAGTTGGCAACAATGTAAACAATTTTAGGCTTTCACTCGCATTAAATTGCGTGCGAAAAGATATGCTAACAGATGCGGGTAACAGAGCAGCAGCTCTTATACTCTACAACTGTTATAGCGCCTGCATATATGTAACAGGGTAGCAGCAGGCGCCGCCTGTAAACTGTAACTGTTAGAGCTTTCGCTTCCGTCTGCAACGACAGTTTGCACATTCTTGTTGTAAAAATAAAAAGCACAAACGGAAAAGGCAAAGACGCAAAGCAAACTGACAAACGGCACTCTGTAACGGCAGTAGCATTTGCCGGCTAACAGTTAATTAATTGTTTGTACATACAGAAAATATGTGTATGTAAGTTGAATCGACAAACAGTCACACCTATTACAAGAAAGCTGGTATAATTAGCTTTTTGAGAGCGCCCCCCACCTGCTGCAAATGATTTCTATTGAATGTCTGTCTGCCAAGAAAATCATATAATTGTCATCAAGCAGTGCATGGCATAATTGCTGTCAAGCAGTGCCCAAGCCACAGTCGCCGGCGTCGATCAAAGACGACAGAAACAATAACAGCAACAACAATAACAGCAGCTGCCAAAAACAGTCGCAGAGAGTGAGAGAGAGAGAGAGACAGGGAGAGATAAAGCGAAGTGCGAGTTGTGTTGGTTTACATGTCCCGCAGTGCAAGTGCAAAAGTTCTAATTAATTATACACAGCGTGTGACGTCACAATGTTGTGTGGTAATGGAAATATATATATATAAGTGAACTTTATTGATTGTATGCATTGCATGCATTAACGAATGTGTTGTTGTTACATGACTACTCTTGCTCATATGCATATGTATGTGTGTGGGTTTGTGCATAAAGCTACCATGAGAACCAGCAAAAGAATTGTATGTTAATAACATGTGCGTGTTGGTTTTAACAGTGCCAGAGCTGTTAAAAGGCTGCAACTAGCAGCTGTTAATTGACATCTCTGTAATCCACATAATTTAATTGTTAAATTCAACAAACGCCACATAAATTGGCTAGTTAATTAATAAGTGCATTTCTGTGTATACATTTTTAAACAAGCACTCAAAAGCTGCTCACGACGAGTTCTGTTAATCAAACGATGCAACGATTTTTAAATTAATTAATTTAATTAATATCAATTAAGCAGCGGAGGCAACAACAACAAAAGGGCAATGCAAATAAATGCACAATGCCTGCATAAATATTTGTAGTTTATTTTGATTTTGTTAAAATGATTTCATTTTGTTTTACGCCTTTTTCCACTTTGGCACACGGCAAATATTTATTTAATTTTATGGCATAAACAAAAGTTTTTCTTTTTTTTGGTTAATTGCAATGCCAATTAAAAGCTGTTTACCAATTGATTGATTGAATGACTGACCGACTGACTAAATTAAAATAGCCAAGTGACCGAAGCGTACAAATTGTCAAAATGAGCGGAAAATTTAATGCATGCTCCGTTGGAAAAATTATATGCAATTAATTTATAAATAAGTAATTTATTTCCTTAACGGACAGATGCTTGCTTAAACATGACAACAATATAAAAAGCATAATTAAATACGTGTTTATTAACTTCTATTTATTTAAACTGAAATCGTTCATAGCCAACTGCAGTTCTCTGTATATTTAATATTAAATTAATTATAAAATATGTTGATATATTGAAACAAAAAAGAAATAATAGAAAATAAAAATTATTAATAAAAAAATAAATATAAATAAAAAAAGTTAATTATTAAAATATTTTTTATATTTTAATACATTAAAATTAATTTAATTCTCTAAGCTCCTTTTATATTGTATATTTCGTGAGCACAATATTTTCTTATTGTTTTATTTATGCATAAAATATAAAATAAGAAGTTAAAATAATTTAAAAAAATATTTAAATTTTAATATTAAATATATAAAATAAAAATGGCAATTAAAATAAATTTTTTAATGTGTGCCATTATGAACTTAATTATCGCAGCTCCATTAATTGATTCATTTTCATATTATCATATTTTTTTTTTGTTTAAATTATTTTGATTAACATAAAGTTAATATAATAAGTGGTTGAACTAATAAAAGAATTGAATTTTAAAAATAGATAAATAATATAAAAAATATAAGTAAACATACATATATATATATATATATATATATATATATATATATATATATATATATATATATATATATATATATATATATATTTATATAAATATATCTATAAATTAAAAAATATATTTTGCTTATGTTTCAATTATAAATTATAAATAGTTGAAATTGTTTTTAAATTGTGTTACACGTTTGATAATATTAAAATTATGTTAATTAATATTATTATTAATTAATATTAATCCTAGTATTTACTATATGTTTAAGTAACTGAAAATTAAACAGGCATAAACCTCAGGTGTGATTCATTATGAATTTCATTAGTCAAAACTCTGCTGATTGTTTTTATTTCATTAACATTTGCCTAATGTTTATTCGTCGTGCAACTAAAGCAAATTCCCACACCTCCAAGAAAACCCACAACCTCAACAATCAACGCCTTTTTTTGGCTTTTGGCTTTTGGCTTTTCTCAAATACCAATTAGGCCATAACAAGTGTTTGTTCGGTATATCATTAGCTTACATCTAATGCGCTCTCAATTGCAACACATTTGGGTCTTGCCGCAAGTTGCACAACAAGCGGACGCAACCAACGTGGCCAAAACACCTTAACTAATGGCCCGGCCCGGCCCGCTATAGTCCGGGCAGCGCCTAATGAGCGGCCAGCCAGCCAGTCAGCCATCAGTTGAGCGCTTTAAAAGGCAGCCCAGAACCTAAACAAAAACCAATGAAAAGAAAACCAACAAAGAAGTATTGGTAGCTGGTGTGGGGGCTGCTTGAAATACTTGAGTTTGAATTTGACTTTTAGTTTGGGTTTGAGTTTTCGAGGTTTGGCTAACACAAAAAAAATACCAGAAAAAAACACTGGCCCCGTAATAAAATATGACTGCAGAACAATTGAAAACCAACAAACAAGCCGAAAGAAAAAATTTGAGCTGACTTCAAGTTATTTGAAACTGGAGCACGTTAAGAGCATGCTGATTGGATGGCTAATGCAGCGGCAGCGGCAGCTGCAGTTGCAGTCGCTGCCGCTGACCATGAAATGCGTTTTTATACGACTTTTTTTTCACTTGCAATCGGTGCAGATACAAGAAAAAATCGTTTCACTTTTGCTCGACGCCAGTTGAGAAAACCGAAAGTTAACAACTGAGAATCAAGAATTGAGAGCACGTCGAGTCTTATTGGAGTCCAATAAGCAATTATGACCGGTTTGCAATTACATGCTTGAGTCCAATTCGAGCAAGCATGAAAACACATATAAAAAACTTTTACAAGTTTTTTTCTCAATTTAAAAATATTTTTAAAATCGCTTTAATTATTTATGTTTTATTTTTGAAAGACTCACCGCTTAGGATAAGGTATGCGCCTATATTTGAAGGCATTTTCCACATCGCGCAGCTTCATTTTGTATGAACGATCTGCGTTCAGAGACATTTACAACACACACAGGGAAACACACTCAAAGACACACACACACACACGCACACAGAGGCAAAATGTAGTACACTCTCGGCTCAACGTCAAGCAGCTTTTCTAATTATCTTCTTTGACACTGTTACAAGATTACAGTTACTGTAAGTGCTGTAAACTTATTGAGTTGCGTTTAACTGTTAACGGTTAGCTGACAGCCCGGCACGACAGCGGGAGAGAGTCACGTGTGTAGCGCACAACGTTCGCGGCACAACTGAATGTTCCTGTGAGCGTTTGGCCGCCTTTTTGGCCCAACTTCAAATGTTGATCGGCTTTTCTGCAGCTGCGACTGCGGCGTCGCAACGTCGCAGCGTCGACGTTTGCGTCTGCGCTGAGCGCTAGCTACGTTTACCGTTTGTTGTTGCTGCTGCCGCTGTTGCCAGCTGCTTTTACCATTTTCTTTTGCACACTCATTCGATCGGGCATCTCTCTTAGTCGTCCAACATTTGCGCTCTTTAGCTCAGTTACCTCGCCAGTGGCACAATATCTTGGGACGCCACTGTGGGCCATTTGAAGTCTGCATTTTTGTTATTGTCCACAAAGTTTTAATGTTTTTTTACTGCCTGTGCTGGCATCGAAATCCACTTTTTATACAATATTTGGGTCGCTAATATTTACACAGATTGTGAACGTACCAACTACCCAAACAATAAATTGTTACCTGTCACAATTAATAGACGTCACCAGTCTTTGCACAGCTGCTGCTTATGTGAACCTCGCTCAGAATTTCTTCAAATATCTATCTCTCTTCTGGAAACACACAGAAACATACTACACACACATACACATGCCGCTCAATGGACCACAACTTGACCTTTCCGGTTAATGTGATTTCTAATTCTTCTTCCACTTCTTTAAAAATTTAATCTTTGGACATTTGTTAAGCAAAAATCGAAAATTTCTGTATAAATTAATTATGTTTACATTTTCAGTCAGTCTAGCACGTGTGGCTTATAGAGCACATTGACCCTAAGAACAGTGAGCGCTGAAAGAATGCATACAGCGAGCGTTTAAGATATTGATATATATTAACTATTTTGTAATGAAATAGGAAGTTCTTTATAGAATCGCACAATTTGAATATGAATTTGATAATACAGTAAAAACCGCTATAAAAACTTTTTAGCAATCATTTCTCATGTTTCATCTTCTATTACTTATATTTCTATACGACTTTTTTAACTTCTTTTCCTTTCTCTCTTCTAATACCACTCTTGCCTCAAGTCTGTTTTATTTTTAATATTTATAATATATATATTTTTTATATATTTATATATATATATTTTTTTTAATATTTATACTTTTCCGGTTCTTTATTTAATTTAGCAAAACTCTTCAATCATTTTTATATATATTCGCTTACCACTAAAAGTGTACGCATACTTTTACATATCACTGTTCTTATCGTACGCTTTCAAATTGTCATCATTCACTATATGTTTAACTATCTTGACAACTTGTGTATTTACAATTAAAATTTTTACAATTCACTTTATTTCAGTGCGCATACTGTTTCCATCCACTGTTCCATGGAAATAACCTATATAACCTGTTCTAGGCACTGTTACTGTTATTATATACTTGTATTTAGCATGAGAAACTCTCTGCACTTTTATATATCTTTAAGTATTATTACTACATGAGTACGCATACTTTTTGGCAGCACTGTGCCCCTGAATTATCTTACTTATTAAAGGTGTCTAATGTATTTTAATTATTTATTATATAATTATTATTTATTATAAATATATGTGCTTAAATGACTACAACTAGACTGCGCATACTTTTTGTTAAAACTGTTCCATTAAGAACTATCTTTTAAAACTCTTTTTGCTAATAAGTTATTAAAATACTGAAACATTTTCTATTATGAGTGCCTGAATACTTTCGTTAAGCATTGTTTGGCTGCTGTCTACTAATTTCTTTTGCAAAATTCTCTATAAAAAGAGCTTCCCATTATAAGTGCACGCATACTTCTTGCAAGCACTGTTCGGTTGCGATATCTCAGTTTTCATACTGGCGTCTGTCGGCTGTTGGCCAAAAAGTTTACGAATTACTTTTAATTTTTTTCCCATTTCTTTTTATTTTTGTTTATTTTTACTTTTTATTTTAGTAAATCGAACAGCAAAAAATTGATTGTTTCGACTTTTTGCAACAAGCTGAAAATTCATGTAAATTTCTTGATAAAAAAACCGAAAAGCGCGAAGTCAACACAAAATTATACAAAAGCAACAAAAAGACACAAATAAACAAATAGCATAAAAAACATAAATTAATTGCCGTTGTTTATGTTAACGACAATTAGCTGGGATAAGTGAGTGAGAGGCGAGTGGCATGTGTGCGAGCGAGACAGCCCGATTATATAAGACAGATGCAGCATCAATTGAAATCGATTTGCAATCATGAATTGTTTAACGAAATTTCTGTCAGCAGATTGCACAGATTTTTGGTCGAGAAGTGAATTTGAATTGTCATACGCGACAAACCACAATCAACATCATGATGCTGATCATAATGATCATGACGATGGGCCGAACAATGCTCATTTAGAAGCAGCAACTGCAGTTTGTGTCAGGCCTGGGCGCTGCAAAGTGTTCGTTTATCAGCTTGCAATTGTCTGGCAATAAGTTTCTTCTCTACCTAACTGTTGTTCTTGTTGTTGTCAGTGTTGCCAGTGATGTTGTTGTCGCATTGTTGCTGGTTTAACAATTGTGCTGAACGGGCAACTCGATTGTAAACAACTTCAACTGGCCCTCGGCGCAAATACAAATACATTTGTGCACGTTTGTGGACTCAGCAGCAGACACATAACAGCAGCGAGGCGTGCTGCAACAGTTGTTTGTAGAAAAAAGAGTTGGTTATTTAAATTTTAAAATTATAATATATTTAAATAATTAAATTGTTTAAATTAATGCAATAAAATGAAATTAAAAATAGAAATTTAGGTTAACCGAAAATTAGATTAAGCTTGGACAAAATTTAATTTGAGTTATATTATAATTAGTGTATTTAAATATTTTATGAGTTGCTTGTAAAGGTTTCGTATACCTTCATTGACTGGATTATTCAGCAATCACTTCATCAACCACTCCATCAATCTATATTTTCTTTCCATAATGAAACTTTTTGCACTTAGAGCAAAAAGATTTTCTCTCAATTTTTAAAAAATATTTCATTATTTCACACTGGTTTTAAATAATAAAATAAAAATAAAATGTATTTCATTTATAAATAAGTTTAAAAAAATGTATTTCATCTTATATTTAAAATATATATTTTCTTTTTAATTTAATTAAAATAATAATATATTTTATTAATAAATTTAGTAAATAAAAAACTTTTTTTTATAAATATATAAAAAAAAATATTAATCAACAAAAATTTAATTAAAAAAATAATAAAATGATTATTTATAAATTAATTAAAAAATTATATTTTATGTATAATTTAACTAAAATCATTTTATATTTTATTTCTAAATTAACTTCACTTTCAGCTCTCGATTTATCTAGCTTTTAAAAATATTCACCAAGGTTTATTCTTACACCTGTTTAGTTGCATTTAGATTTATTGATAAATTAATGCTTAAAATTATATATCCTCTAAATATATATTTATTTTCGCACATATATATAAGATACATATGCTCTTCAGATACGATTTAGAGCATACTCTTAACTTGCTGTGCCTTTTGGGAACTTGTAGTTTATAGTATTGTAAGCCATGCCTGAAAAAGGTCAATATTATATAAAGATATATTCAATGAGAGCATGGCAATATAGACAATATATAATATACATATAATATATATATATAATATATAATACAGTTGAAATCCGCTGCATATAGGCCCAAAAATGTTAAGCTAATAATAATATAATAATAAATGAGGCTGAACATGACGCAATGTTTTACATATTTTACTCGCAGCTCTCGCAGTTAGGCTTATCAACACCATTTGGTCTAGTCTGCGGGTGATGCAGGTGATGGTCAGGTGGCACAAAAGAGAGTGAGAGAGAGGGAGAAAGTGAATAGTGGAGAGTGAAGTCAGCTGGCGGCAATAAACAGCGCCACAGTTGAGCAAACAGCCACGCCAGATGGCAAGGCGAGTGGGCGTGGAGGTGGGCGTGGCAGATGGGGGAAGGGATGCAGGGCACAATACCTGTGGCTGTTGCTCTGCCTGGCTTATGTGTTATGCGGGTCAACCAACCCAGTTAGAGCCACGCCTCGAGCCTTGGCAGTTGCCTTAACTTTAACACCGTCCTGGCGAGCCTTTCGGCCAGGATGAGTCCAATCAGCGCCTGGAAATAGCCGTGGCCAAAAGCAATTCGAATGAAACAAAGGTTTTTGGTATTTTTAAAATTCTCGTTTAAGTTTGTTTCCTTTTGGTTTTTAATTGTCGTTTTTTGTTTTATATTTTAAATACTCGTTTCATCTATTTGATTCAGTGCGTCATCATTATAAGTTTTTTGTTTTATTTTTTCTCATACTATATCGTACTATTTATACTTATATATTTTCTTTTATATATTTAATATCTTCTTTATTTGTTTCTGTTTCTGTTTTTGTTTATTATACAAGTGAAACTTATGGCATACAACAGAAAATTTATGAGCCCAGTCTTCGGGCGGGGTTTGAATAATGAAAACTATTTTTGAAATATATTTGACAGTTTTTCTCGCTTTTCTGTTTCGACTATTTACACAGCTGCTTTTCACTTCTCGAATATTTTTCATATAAATTATATGCCATGTATTTTATTTACTTTTATTTTAATTTCATTTCGTGCACGTTTCCTCTTATACTTCGTCTTCTTTCATGGATTGAAATCTACTTTAAACACAGTTGGCACGCACAAAAGTCTATGAAGAAACGTGACTGTGACTGTGACTGTGACTTTAATTGTGACTCGGTGAGTCGCTGATTGCAGTGATCTTATTTAAAGTTACTTATTGAATGTTTTGCCAGCATATTTTATATATTTTGTGTATATATTTATGCTTAGGGTGACCAAGTAGGAGTAATAGGAAATTAAATTTGAATGAAACTAAATTTATTTGAGATATAGCTTTGCTTTTAGTTTATATTGAAGCTATAAATATGCCATTCCATGTATAATAACACAGCATACAAATAGCAACCTCAGCTTAGCTTGCAGTGCTTCAAGCGTTAAGCTTCATTTTGAATAGCTCGACAGTCT